AGCTTGACCTTGACCATCAGACTCTTTATTATATACTGTCACATAATACTCCAAGTATTAGCTGATTCTTTTACCTGTGGCATTAGATAATATTTTTCTGTATAGTGAATTGCCAATTTAAGAAAGATGGGGTTTTTTTTTGTTCGTTTTAAATATACATGACAGTAGAGTAAATTTTGACATTATGCATACATGGAGTATTAATTTTTCTAATTAGGATACAATTCTTGCGGTTGGACATGATAAGAAAAAAAAGAAAGGGTTTTTTTTGATTATCTGTATGTTTAATGGAACTCACTCAGGTTTTGTTATCTTAAAAACACACATGGTTTCCAGGTAATGCAGTAAAAGTATCTTTATAGAGACAACTGGAATGCTTTGAGCATTCCTTATTCCCCCTACATGTAGTTTTTATTCATTTATGAAATATTTTAAAGAACTTAAAGGATCTTAAAGAACTTAAAAAGATATAATTTTTTTTTAGTTTTTTACTCTGCCTATTGCTTCTATGTGAAGTAACTTTTTGGTATTTTAAACACATTAAACAATATAAATTTTTTGTGGTACTAGGGATTAAACCCAGGACTTCTCATATTCTAGGCAAAGAACCCTACCATTAAGCTACATCTCCAGCCCTTTTATTTTTAATTTTTATCTTGATATTGTCTCACTAAGCTGCCCAGGCTAGCCTCAAACTTGGAACCCTCCTGCTTCAGCCCGCCAAACAGCTGGGATTACAGTTGTGCACTGCATGCCCAGCTAAAATTTATATTAATATACAGCATGAGAGTAAAAAATTCATTATTATAGTGAGTACTTTGACCTCCAGAGATATTCATTAGCCCCTAATATCACAGTTAAATTGGTTAAAAGGTCAAGAAACACTTACTAATTCTTAATGTTTTTCTATGTAAACCAATCTCATGAATGTGAGACACTCATAGGTACACCTATGAATTTTAATAGCTAGAGAATATTATAAACAGGTTTTGGTATGGATGGTTAGTGTCAATTTCCCTTTCTAGCTGTTTCCAACTGATATCCCAGGTTATAACCAATGCATTGTAGAACTTTCATGAACATGTCCTGATATAAACTTTTTTTAAAAAGCAATTCAGTCATCTAAAATTTCTTAACAGCTTATTTTTTACAATGCCTATGTGGGTCTTATTGGAAACATGATTATTACCCACAATTTGTTGGAACTTGATTTTCTAATTTGGTTTAACTCAGTGCATCTAAAACTTTAGTGTTCCTACAAATTACCTAGGGACCTTATTAAAATGTACATTTTGATTCAGCAGGTCTTGCACAGGGTTTGTGATTCTGGATTTTGCGTTAGCTACTTGGTGATTAGATGTTGCTGCTCTAAGATTCTTAGCGAAGCTTTGAATGGCTATTCACTAGCAGTACTTAAACACTGAAGTTTACTGCTTCTAAATCTGCTTCAGACTATAAAATAATCATAAACTAAGCTAGCTAACTTCATTTTAAATAGGAAGCCAGTAAACCACGGAATGACAGACTCTGCCTAATATGGATTTGGAATTACTATTTGGGGTTTCCTTACACCTTTCCTCACAGGTGATTGAGCTGGATGCAGTGGCACATGTCTGTAATCCCAGCAGTTTGAGAAGCTGGGGGAAGAGAATTTCAAGTTCAAAGCCAGCCTCAGCAAATTAATGAAGCCCTAAGCAACCTAGCAAGACCCTGTCTCAAAATAAAAAAATAAAATAAAATAAAAAGGGCTGGGGATGTGGCTCAGTGGTAAAGCTCCTCTGGGTTCAATCCCCAGTTCCAAAACAAATAAAAGACTGAATCAATCGGAAGACTGACCTCTGGATAAATGAGGTGTTATTCATCTCCACATGGGTACTGGGCCCATAAACATTTGGCTTAAATAAATCAGAAAACAAGAATGGAAGCAGATGGGCGAGTTGGGAAGCCATTATAATAATATAGTAAGGAAGTGCTGTCAGGCTAACCTAAAGCCATAGTAGGAAGATGGGATGGATTTTTTAAAAGAAAGTGGGGATTGGAAGAGAGAGGTTGGTGGAGGTAGGGGGAAAAGGAGGTGATGAGAGAAAGTCTAAGATTATTCTAAGATACTTGGCTTCAGCAATTTGGTACACAGTAGTGCCCTTAAATAAGAGAACCTAGTAGGGAAAACATCAGTCAGGTGGGATTTTGGAGAAATGAGTTTGGCTTTGGACATGTTATGTTTGAGGTTTCTGTGGACCATATACACAGACAGGATAGTGTTTTGGTTTCTAGTCAAATATATCTAGGTTCAGATTCCAGCTCTGCCATGTGTTTAACTGTATGCTATTAATCCAGTAAATTCCAAGGTTTTTGTTTTGTTTTGTTTTTTTTTTTTTTTTTTTTTTTTTTGTACCAGGAATTGAACTCAGGGGCACTCAACCACTGAGCCTTGTCCCAGCCCTACTTTAAATTTTATTTAGAGACATGCTCTCCCTGAGTTGCTTAGTGCCTCACCCTTGCTGAAGCTGGCTTTGAACTCTGATCCTCCTGTCTCAGCCTCCTGAGTCTCTGGGACTACAGGCATGCAACACTGAGCCTGACTAAATTTGAAGTTTTCAAGTCTGTGACTATTTCAATGAAATTGACATGGGTGCATTAAAATAGGTGAACACCAGTAATCCCAGCGGCTCAACTTCAAAGCCAGTCTCAAAAATTTAGGTAGGCTCTAAGCAATTTAGCAAGACCATGTCTCAAAATAAAAAATAAAAAAGGCTGGGGATATGGCTCAGTGGCTAACTGCCCCTGGGTTCAATCCCCAGTACAAAAAAAAAAAAAGGTTGGAAATCATAACCTAGAGCTTATATTATTATACTGATTAATATTAATATTACATAATTATATATAAATTATAATTATAATAATTATTGCATTATATTGTTATTGTATTACATAATCATATTGTTATAATTATATGATTATATATTATGTAATTATGTATATATTATATATATATATTTAAAGTTTTGTACATGTTTCACATCTGAGACAATAAAACAAAATTGGCTTGGAAAGTATATTTTCTGAACCTTCATCTATAAAGTAAACATAAAGAAGTGTATTATTAATGAAAAAATAAATGATATAATATATATTAAGTATCAGTACAATACCACCAATAATATTCAAGGATGTTTGCAATACAGGTCCTTCTTAACAATTTGCATTAACATGCACTATTGAACAATAAGGAGTGATATTTTATTTTTAAAAATGCTTTTGGAAAAAATATTTATATTTATGAAGGCATAAAATAATCTGGCCAAAGCTTTACATTAAAAAGTAACTCAATTTGAAAAATGTTGTTTTTGCAGGTGGGTGAGATGTTTATTTATTAAAGCAGGAGCTCTCTGAAAGCTCTGCTGTGAACTGAAAGTAGGCCTGATCCCAAAACAGGGAGTCTGTGGTTATATCTGGAGTAAAAAGTAAAAAACAAACAAACAAACAAACAAAACCAGAACATTCATTTCTGCTCACTTTAACTTTTAAGGATATTAGAAAAGAATGTGATTTGATGAGGAAGGAAATTAAAAAGAGAAGGAAACGTAAAAGGGAAATAAGAAACTTCACATCTCTGCATTTGCTGTGTTTGCTGATTTTTTACCAGAAAGATGAGCAAAAATGATTTTCCTTATTAACATCCAAATTCGGATGGCTTTTCCCAAGGATACTTTGCAGTCTGGGCTCTGGGAAGATTGCCTCTTCCCATATTCTCCAGAGAGCTGCCTTAAGACTTCTTAACTGCCTTTTTGTGGAAGAGAATCCCAGATTGCACTTTTTCTCACCCACAAGAAAAATTACTGCTTGCAGCACGCTCCCACATCTTGGGAAGGCTAAGCCAGAGACGACGCTCCTTCAGGGCAGAGTTCCTGGGCTCCAGGACTTGGCATCTGTGTATGCCGCACCCCACAGTTTTCTAAGCCATATGGCCTTGAGGATTCATTCCCAAAACACCTTGCCAAGAACCCTGGTTTGTACATTGTCTCCCAACTCCTTCCTTCCTGTAAACTTGATTCCCCTTTTAATGCACTCTTTAACTCTGCGAGAACTAACTTATCATAATAAAAACAACCCTCACAAATTCCTCATAGGTATGTCATGCAGATTACTAGCCTCTTTCACCTTAGTGTTGAAGCTATGTGTTGCCAGGATATAATAAAGATGAAGGCTGGCCTAAAAGGGTTCCCCCCGCCCCCCGCCCTTAAAAGAGTATAAGAAAGAAAATAACCAACAATAAACCTCTTTATAAACTGCTTGGATCTTGAAAAGGAAAAATGGTCTAGAGAGTTTCTTTGGCTTATTACAGTAATTTAATAAACAAGGTCGGCAGCGAGGGAAGGAAGAGATGCGTGGCAGAAGGAAAATGTGTGGCTTATGGAGATTTTATATTCTTTTAATATGAGCAGTTAGAGCTAGCTCAAGCGGGACAAAATTTTGAACTTCGACGAGGAATCATAGCACTGTGTGACCTTGGATAAGTCACCTCACTTGTTAATGCTTTCATTTATTGATGTGGAAAGAAGATGTGATGTCCCGAGATCCTGAGATCGCCTAAGTACACAATACCAAGCAAGGAGCACTACTTGTCAGTTGCTGCTACTGCTGCTTCCCAGAATGAGCCGTTACTACAAAATTCTGGAAAGTTTGTTTTCTACAAATTAAAACCCTCGCTGTAAAAGGATGAGGTGCCCAACATCTTTATACCTAAGGTTAACTTATTAGAACCAAAAACGCTTTAAACTTTACACAGCCAAAACACTCTAAACTAGTGGCGGGACCCACTTTGAAAGCATCCCCCACCCGTTCTCACCCAGTGCATTTTGGGAAGTGTAGTTCCATGCTGAGGTTTCGTGAATACAGACAAACGGGCAGGAAACTACAACTCCCAATAGGTGAGGAAGCAGGACTATTTCCCAGTCGGGCGGTAGCGCTGTGGGAGGGAATTGGCAATCTTGCTGCCTACGTGGGAGAGAAGGGAGGGTTGGGGGAAGTGTAGAAACCTGAACCTGAGCCGCTGCCGCCTGAGGAAGATTTGGTGGGCGGAGAAGTAAAAGGGGGAAAAGCGGGTTGGAGGTGAGGTGAAGAGGGCATATAAGTCGCTGCTCCCGGTGGGGCACAAAGTTCACCGCGATGTGGCTAAAGCCTGAGGAAGTGCTCCTGAAAAATGCGCTGAAGCTGTGGCTGATGGAAAGGTCCAACGACTACTTCGTGCTACAACGGCGTCGAGGCTACGGGGAAGAAGGTGGAGGGGGTCTTACAGGTAAGCTGTGGCTGGCCCTATTTGCCTCAGGACTCTGTTCACTATTAGTTAAAAGGTGGTAAGGAAAACAGTTACTCGTCGCTTTCCAGATGCCCGATCCTAAACCCTGGGCGGAGGGACAGGGGTTCAGCTCCCTCCGCCACTACCACCACCTTACCGCCACCACCACAGAGCCCTGGAGGAGCAGTTGCTTTTTGGGTGGGACAGGGGAGGGGGGAACGCGTCTTTCAGAGGCGGAGAGAGAATCAGGCACCTGCCCTGTCGCTTCCTATGGGGGAGGGGGCTGATGGCTAGTGTTTAAGCTAGAACAGTCACATTTAGCCTGGTATTAGGGGCCAGTTGTCAGTTGTGGACTTAACTTTTTCCCAAAAATATATACCGATAATCACCACCTGGGGAGTTTTAAGTGTGTGTGTGTGTGGGGGGGGATGGTATGGGGGCACGGGAATGGCGAGGAGAAAGAAGCGCCCCCATTGCATCCTGAGAGGTAGGCATCAAATCGGGGATTGAATTGGGGAGAGGGATGTGGAAGAGGTGGAGGCATCGGGCTCAGAATTGCTGACCTCTCCCAAATTTAGCGTCCTTTACTTGTCTCCAAGTTTTCAGTCCTTGGGAGCTCTTCCCAGACTATTACAACGTCTTAATACATTTCTCTTGAGTGTTTGAAGCTGGCTCTTCTCTCAAAGCCAGGATTCTAAACCAAACCCATTAGAAAAATGGAAATTCAACGCTTTCTGCTTAACCCACACTGCCGTCCCCTCAATTCTTAGATTTAAAAATTAAGAACTCCTCCTTGGTCAAGTATCTGAAATCTCCAGAGAATGTTATTTTGAGGTCACTAGTCTTGGGCAGGGGCATTCAAACTTTTGGACGTTGGGGAGAGGAGAACTCTTTTTCATGATCTTTTCTGGTCGGTATTGTGACCTTGCAGATGGTAGACCCGGCTGAATTTAGACAGTATGATGTACAGGAAAGAGAGAGGAATCTGAAAACCTGCATTTTAGTCCCATCCTCGTCTCTTACTTGTTGGATGGTATTTGTTAAATTCTTTCATTTACTCAGCCTCACAGGATCACTCTATGCTAAAGGGAATGTTCAGATACAACACTGTTAAGATTCTGTTCCCCACCTTTAAAGTGCTCATTATCTGGATAAAGGGAGAGGATGGAGTAGGAGAGGAGGAAGATCAGGCAAATTATAATTAGAATGAAATGATTGAAAAATTGAGTGAAAATTAATGGGGGAGGTGACATTGATTTTCTTCTTTTGTAAAACAGTGCCTACTTCAGTTGAGAGGATAAAATGAAAGATAAAAGGTACCAAATCAATGTATGTTGTTAAAATGGTGATAAATGTGTGCTGTTATTTTCCATTTTTTAAAGCCACCTCCAAAGAGAATTCTGAGTTTCTACAGGTTATATATAGATATAGATAGAAAATCTTGCAACACCTATTTATTTTATCCAGCTTTTAAAAAAGCTCTTTTGAAAATATGGCAACAAAAATTGCCACTATAAACTTGGTAGTTTGTCATTTTCTGGTTTTTAGGAATTATGGGTGTTATTTTGCAGAAGATTTGCCATTTAGTAGTTAACAGGTATTTTCTAGATTAAAATTTGAGAATAAGTTTTAATTTGAAAACCAATTACTCAGTCATGTCAATTAACCATTTGGGTCCATTGATAATAGGTCAGGATATATTTGAAACAGATCTTATATCCCTGTGTTAACAGCCTCAGAGGTAGTTGTCTACTGTATTTTTAAATGTTTTTAAATTGTAGATGGACAAAATACCTTTATTTATTTGTTTCTATGTGGTGCTGAGGATCAAACCCAGTGCCTTATAGGTGCTAGGCAAGTGCTCTGCCAGTGAACAATAACCACAGCCCTATCTACTATATTTTGATTTCCCATAATTTTACTTGACCAGAATTTTTATTGATCTTCTGGCCTATATCTACCAAATAAGTGTATTTCACTTCATACAACTGTGTTTCTGAAAAATAATAGTCAACCAAATGCTGAAGAATCAAGTCACAATAATATAGTGTTAGGTGGTTTTTTCTTGTTAAGTTTCCTTTATAAAATTGCTACTTATTTTCTGTGTTTGAGTTTTCATTTTTCATGTCTTCTTAAATCATAGACCATTTGTATCAGTTTCTTCTCTCCATCCCACCCACCTCTTTAATCATTCCCTTCTCTCTAGTATAAGAGGAAATTTGTCTGAAGAAATAAACCAAGATTTCTGACACATGGTACATGTTGTGACTAGTGATAAGCCTATTGACTTGGTGGTCAGTTTGTATCTCTGCATGATTATTTTCCCCATGTTATTGACAGGATGCCTTAATTTTTGCATGAGAGCTGCCATTATAAGACCATGTAAATTAAACAAAATGGACCAGAAAAGAGCAAAGAGCTATTTCTAAATTTGGTTCTTTTTGGATCAGAGCAAAAGAGTATGCTTATTTTCTTGGATACTCAATTATAGTATTCTTACTTAAAATTGCACTTTACTATGTAAGTCCATATTAGAATTAGCCTCCTACAAGTTTGTGTGCCAGCATAAGCTTGCATTTGACCATGTTGTTTGCTAAAACCTAGTGATATGTGCTATCCATTTATAAAGTTAGCTGATACATTTTGTTTAATGAAGAAAAGATAATTACCATCCAGAAGTGTTATGATTGTATTGTAAGATTTTATTTCTTTGCCATATAGTAATTGGCAATTTCCACCAGCCATGTAATGACTTTAGGTAATGGACTTAGTGAAGTTAGTTGACTCAGTTTTTCCCCCTGATAATGAAGTAGGAGCAACAGAGAACCCTAAGATGGTTATAGTAGGAGACTACTTTGGAAGTTAGAATTTTGAGGTCCTGGGCTGGGGCTGTAGCTCAGTGGTAGAGTGCTTGCCTCATACGTGTGAGGCACAGAGTTCGATCCTCAGCACTACATAGGTAGGAAGGAAGGAAGGAAGGAAGAAATCGTGTCCATCTACAACTAAAAATATTTTTAAAAAAGAATTTTGAGGTCCCTTTTCTAAATTTGTAAACACTTGTTGTGGGTGTCTGGTAGATTGCTGATCATTTACCTAACTTTATCTATCTTAATTATCCTGGCTCACAGTGCAATGGAATTTTTGTGGAAACATTTACTATATATAAGGTTGTTATGCAGATAAAGTGGTTTTCCTTCATTTAGAGAAGTAAATTACTTTTCTGGATTTTATAGTTACCTTACTGTTATCCCTTGCTTCTCCTGGTTGATAAGGGTAATGACTCTTCTATGCCATTTTAATTTAGCACCTGGTTTTGTATAATTCAAATAAGGTATGCATATTTTTATTAAGCATAAATCAACAGTTTGCTCCTCTTGGCAGATGGGAACCATAACATGGGCTACATTTTATTAAGTACTCTAGTGTATGGGACTTAAGAAATATCTGCCAGTGAGGAAGCCTTAACTTGGGTAAAACTGCCCAAGGTGAGAAACTTTTTCTCTTGAAATTGTTCATACCTGAATAGTTAGCAGGTTCTTGGGTGTTGGATCAATAAATACCACTCAGTAAGTTTTTGGGGTTTTTTTGGTACCATGGGTTGAACCCGGGGCCACTTAACCACTGAGAAACATCCCCAGCCCTTTTTTGAATTTTATTTACAGACAGGGTTTCACTGAGTTGTTTAGTGCCTCACTAAATTGCTAAGGCTGGCTTTGAACTCCTAATCCTCCTGTCTCAGCCTCCCAAACCAGGATTACAGCCATGCACCACCATGCCCAGAAGTAAACCTTGTTTTTTGTGGTATAGAACAAAACTACAAAATAATACTTATTAAAATGGAAGATTTGAAGATATTGTTTCCTTATTCCTCTTTCATCTTAGTGTACTATACTTTGAAATGAAATCATCTGTGGAAACTAGAACATGATGACATTTGAAATTAGCTTTCTATTTTAAAGTGTTTGAAATAAGCTTTCCCTTTTATGGTATTTAGGCTTCACAAATCACTGTGTAAACGATTTGTTATAAACATATACATAGTAAACAATAAGTAGTCTTTTATAAATCTCCTCCTGATCATCCCTTGAAAATATAAATATTTTCTTCTGTTTTCCCCACCCCCCAACTAGAGTCTAGCTCTGAAAATGTTGGCATTAAGTATGTATTAGCAAAATATCCCTGTATTCTATGTTCACAAAGGAACCCTCTTATAAAATATCTGTTGCCCAAACAGCAGTGGGCATGGCATTTTATATTAGGTAAGGAAAGATCTACTGCCACACACACACACACACACACACACACACACACACACACACACAAATAAATTAATAAATTATCATTTTGACTTGTTTGAAAGAAAATCCCACAGGCAACCCCTAGGGAAGGCAAATCACTTTGTATGTTCCTCTACCTCCCAAGAACATCAAATTTTAAAATTGTCTTTAAGGGTATAAAAAAAGGGAATTTCCTGAAAGCAGAAGGGAGAATAATAGAGTAGAAGCAGGGGATCAAGGAGGAGGGATGAGGGGAGGAAAAGGGGAAGAACTGGGGAACAAAGTTTCCAAATTATGCTATGTGCATGTGTGACTATATCCCAGTGCACTCCAAATTTATATATAACTGTAAGGTACCAATTAAAAATAAATAAATAAATTGAAGGAAAATCAATAAAGCAGAGTACAGGGATCAGGGGATAATAAGGGAAATTAAAATGGAGAAAACTATGTTCTATACATTTATGAATATGTTAAAATGAACCCCTCTATTATGTATTACTACAGTGCACTAAAAATAAATTTAAAAAAATAAAAATACCTTGAATTATCTCTTTCAATCAGAATGGGCAGCCTTATAGGAAACTTTGAGAAATGAAGAATGGTTGGTATCACTACTTTTTAGTCTTTTTTAAAGTCAGAATGAAATCTAATTGATTAGTTTTCTGATTACATTATAAATCTCTTACTCCTCCACAAACCTTTTGCACATAGTCTACATAG